TATTAACATTAAAATATTGAAAAAAATCATCTATAAAAAGTTCATATTTGTAGTTCTATAACAATAAGTGGATCACAGGTGACTAGTCTGCTTGTGATGAAAACAGAATTATCTTTGCTGAAAATGCAGCATTTCTAGAAATGCACTGGGTTATAACATTAATACTAATATGATGACTGAATTCAAAATCAGACAAATTGGGGAATAAATGGATACAATCCTATCAAATCATGAATTAAAAATATAATTAATTTTTTCTCAGGTAATCTTTCTAAAAAACTTGTCTATGTGCACAGTACAATTCCATGTGTATCTGTTAAAATAGACAGTTTATGCCTGCTATTTCAAACAGTCTGTAAAAACATATCTTCAATGTCAGGTAAAGATTATAGCAACCAACCAACTAGTGCCAATTTTCATTTAAACCCTGCACTGATTCAGAAAATAGAGTACATTAAAAATAATCACATTATTACTAAATTACAGCCAATTTTTCATGTCGATAGGGAACCATGCAGAACACTTGGACTCAACTCTCATAGAGTAAGCAATTATTGTCATTCCAGGTGAATTCGCTCTTTGTACATAAAATATTTTTCCACATTAAAAAAGCAAATTCTGTTTTTTGAAACTTGATGTTACACATCACTTTTGATGAGCTGTAATGCCAATATTCTACAGCACTGTCCAAACATTCTGTACTTTATTATTAGCTCAAGATACAGTAATACACTATCATACAATAATAATAATAATAATAATAATAATAATAATAATAATTTAAGCTTGTATGCCGCCTGATTCTCAACAACTCATCCTATTAAAATATCTGTTTACATAAAATACTCATCCGATTAAGAAACAACTAAATTATGTATCATTAAAGATAAAAGTTTCTTTTTTATTAGCATAAGGGGGATCAATTAATACAAACTCACCTGCTTTGATTAAAAAGTTAAAATCCATTACTCCCAAATTCTAAAAATAATGACATTTAATATCAGATCAAACATAAAAGGTTTGATTCAAATAACTTTTTAATAAAATAAATTTTCTCATTTGTTCTGTTTGCAAATAATTACCTGCTAGGATGTCAGTGTTTCGTGTTGCTATTGTTTTTACTTTTATTATTCCCGACTCAGCAGCCTGTTAAAAAAAAAATTATGAATTCAGTTTATTTTGTACTTGTATAAAAGCAATTATTTGTTTAATTGAAGTGCACCTTAATGTCTTGTTCTTTTTACTGTTGCATAAATTGCATCCATAAAAGTGTATGCTCCTAGCTTAGTCAGATTTTATTTAAGTAAGCTATATCATGAGCCTGCATATACATATTATTTGCAGTTTCTCATTAATCATGGAAATGTATGTCAGTTGTTAGAAGAAAAAACACTCTGAGAAAAACACTTGTTTATAGTTTCTGTTTAAGCAAATTCCATATCAACCAAATCTTTTAAAATTAAGTCACAGAAGTTTAACATGAAGTTTGGAAGTTCACTTCATAAAGGCAAGTAGTAGGTGAGTATATATGCATGCAAAAGTTAGGTTAAGAGTCTCAACTGCCAAGGCAAAAAATTCCACACATTACACTTCAAGTAAATCTTTTTTGCTAACCTAGTGGAAAATAAAATGAAATAAAACCAGTAAATAGCTAAAAAGATGCTCAAATATTCCCATGTCAGCTAATACGCTAACTAAAATAACACTATGTTCTAATTTCTGCATTCACTCATCCCATTAAAAAAATGGAATGATATAAAATGGATTACAAAATTAATACAGTAGTAAAATCCTATGTATAATTATCCAAAGTAGTTTCCAATGTATTTAGTGGAATCATTTCTGGTAATGGTGCTCAGCATTGAGAAACTTTTAAAAAATGATTTAAGAAAAATCTTTCTATCTCAAATTAAGTTCAAAAATAATTTGCATTATTAAATAGCTAAAAACTTGAAACACTAGAGTGGAGCCAGAAGAAATCTGCTTCATTCTGCAACTTTGTTTGAAGGATAGTTCAAATTTTTAACAATTCCAGTGCATTAAGAATAATCAGCCAGTGACAAAACCAACAGAGTTTTTGAGGATTTTCCTCAGAGATTCTTTGCATGTAAAAGAAAACTGTAAAATTTATATTGTTTTTAAAATAACTTTATTAAATTTTAAAACATAAACAGTAAAAACTAACAAAAACTAATATTAAAGGAAGAAAATAAGAAAAAGAGAGGAAAATTAGAAAAAAAGAATGACCAAGATCAAAAGTGCAGAAAAGAAAAGAGAAAAACAACAAAAGAAAAAAAAAAAAGAACTGACTTCTGACCCTCCTCACAATAGATATAAGTAACAGTATACATCAATCTCTTGCTCTAACTTTACAACATAACTTTCACTATTACTATAAACCCATATTATTTCTGATAATCAAACTCATACAACATCATTTCATTTTTTTTGTTTCCCGCAGAAAGTCTATAAAAAGTTTCCAATTAACATTAAAAATTACACAATGTGTTTTCTCAGATCTAAGCCATCAATTGCACCAACTCAGCCAACTCCATCAGCTTCACCGTTCATTCTTCCATTGTAGGTAATATCAGATCCTTCCACCTTTGTACATATAAAAAACTTACTGCTTTAATGTACAAGAACAAAATTCCATAAATTTAATAACAAATGTATTTTAACCTTAGTCAAAAATAAATCCATTTTATATCCAACTTATCATTTTCTCTAAAAAAAAAAACTCCATCAGCTTCACCGTTCATTCTTCCATTGTAGGTAATATCAGATCCTTCCACCTTTGTACATATAAAAAACTTACTGCTTTAATGTACAAGAACAAAATTCCATAAATTTAATAACAAATGTATTTTAACCTTAGTCAAAAATAAATCCATTTTATATCCAACTTATCATTTTCTCTAAAAAAAAAAAAAGCAAATGAAATCTCTCCCCTTTATATACAGATCCTTAAAACCTTGCCGTTCAATCCAAAAAAAATCCCATTAATACTACCAAAAACCTCAACAAATATATTAACCATAATCAAATAAGTTCACTTTGTAAATCTTCTGTTTATTTTTAAGAAGCTTACTTTAATCCTTTCAAATACCGTCCCACAAGTTGATTCCCCATCATTCTATTTTTTTAAAAAAAATATTTATTTTTTTATTGTATTTATATAGCTGCCCATCTCACACAAAGTGACTCTGGGCAGTGTACAATAATTAAATAAAATAACAAATAGATAAAAACAATAATTATAAAAGATAAAGTGATTATTAAAATACAATATCAAAAATTAAAAAATTTTTAAAATATACAAAATATACTGTTATCATATATAAGAACAAAACTTCCACAAATTTAATAACAAATATATTTTAACCTTAGTGAACTTTATATACAGATCCTTAAAGCATCGTCATTCAATCCTGGTCACAAAAAAATCCCATTAATAACTACCAGAAGCCTCAGCATATATATTAACCATAGTCAAATAAATTCACTTTGTAAACCTGTTTACTTTTAAAAAGCTTAAACTTTAATCCTTTCAAATAATGTCCCACAAGTTGATTTCCCATCAGGCTCTCCTTGTCTTCTCCCAGAAACAGCCACAGTAATTTCTCTTCCCAGGAACACCCTCACTGGTTCAACAGATTCCTTTTGCAAATCCAAGATAAAAAGTCTTTCCAAGTCACTCTTCCATTATTTGTATGTCCCCTTTGATCATTGTGACATCAGTTGGTTTCATTTGTAAATCCATTCTAGCATCTTTTTCAATATCACTGTTATCCTTTGGCCATTTTAAATCCATATTTGAATCCATAGCTTCTTTGTTCATACCACCTTCATAGTCCAACATTTTTTTGAACTTCAATTCCACATTCGAGTCAATCTCTACCTCTTTTTCAAAGTTAACCATCTTACCCACTCTCTCCTCTTTTTTTCAAGGGACTTGAATTTAGCTCCTAATTCATCAAATATCGACTAAAGTAAACATAAAGGAGTTATTTTATCTTCTAATGGCTGCTCCAAATGACACCTTCTAGCCATTTCTTCCCCCAAAGCAAACTTCATAGCCATATTCTTTTTTTTATTTTCTATTTACACAAGTAAAATGTATAGCCGGATATAATTAATTACAAATGAAAGTGAACTGACAGTTCACGCCCTCTAGCATCTTTCAAGCTGGAATTGCTGGCAAGATGGATCCCCCGCCTCCTAGCCACTTGACCCGAAAGCCGTTCGTAGAAGGTTCCATCTCTGCAATTAGCTTTCGAAGAATGGCTGCCTGGAGATGGTATGAGTCGATTTTCTCGCTTCCTCCTTGATCTGGAGCAAGGATCTTGCTGACAGCCACCAATCCCGCTATGGTGCCATCTCCCCACTCATGGAGAGATGACTAAGCCACCATTGTCCCCACTGGAAGTCCCTTCTACTTTTTTTTAAATTTTATTATTATTCTATCTTTTTCTTCAGTTTGTATGAGTTTTTACTGTTATAATTTTAATCTTTAATACAATTACTATTTTTAAAAAACCATGGACAGCTCCATTAATGGTTTATTTTGCAACTTATCTTAAATGATGCCTTTTTAAATTTTTCAGGTACTTGTTCTCTGAAAAGAAAAAAAAAAGCTACATCTATTCTTCTCAGGTTCAGCCCAAGAATCACATGAGAGAGTTC